GATGAGAGGAGAGAGGCAAGCCGCACAAAAAGGGGAAGAGCAGGTAGAATAAAAAAACATAAATAAAGAAAGAAGAAAAGCTCGGTGTCTTTCTCCCTTCTGGATCACCGATTTCAGCGACCATCACCATCCCTACTTCGTTTGATTCTCCGATCACGATCATCTTTCTCTGATCATCATCACTGGCTCTATACTTTCCCCACCTTATAACCACCAGGCCACCATTTTTGTATCCATCGCTGCCCAGAAACCAAAAAAAAAAAAGATTTCATTCTTTTTTTGAGCACAAGCAACAAGCAGAGAGGAATCCGAAGAGCAGAACCGGTGAAGAGCTTTTTGGAACGAGGCGATTCATTTTTTTGGTCGATCCCGGTTGGGGTGTGACGTCGGTCTTCTTCCGTGAGCTAGGTATAATTCCGAAACAGAGGAGTTTTTGGGAAAGGTAGTGAGGGAGATGAACGGAGCTAGGTCCCGTGGGATCTCTCCTTTCAGATCTGGATCTACCTTTCTCCACAAAGTTCCGCCATGTTTGTTTGTTTGCTTTTTTTTTTTTTCTTTTTTTTCTGTGAGTGTTTGATATTCTATAGTTAAGTTTTATGAATTTTGCTGAAAAATGAATGGTAATGAAGCATATTTATTTTATCTTCTGTTAAGTTTTCATTGAATCTTTTGGAAATCTGCATTCTGTTAAGTTCAATCATCCTCATTTTAATGTCTTTTGTCCAAAACTTTTTGCAATCAAGCAATTAAGTCCAGAAATTTAAATCTTTTCAAATCCGTCCTCTACGTTTTGAATTTAATCAAATCAGTTGTTCCACTTTTAATTTTGTTGCTGTTGTACTGGCATGTTCTTGATTTTGCTTCAATTCAGTTCAAGTATTTTCAAGCTTTGCAATTTCATTCATTTACTTTTTAAAGTATACTTAATTAAAAATAAAAAAATAAAAATTGAATAAATTTCTTAATGTTAAAGTATTCAACTGTGTTTAATACATGGAGGATTGTGAGGTTTTCGTTTGCCTTTTCTCACTCTTAACTGAACTCCTAAACCCTATCTTTACACAGAACCCCTAAACCCTATCTTTACATAGACCGTGTTTTCAGGGGCTTGTGCCACGTGACTCCTTTCTTTTTCATTTTTCATACTTAATTTTTCATTATATTTTCATTTATATATTCATATAAATATTTTTGAAAATTTTAGGTTACCACCAACACTTCTATTGTTTTCTTCATCTCTATAATGGTTGAAGCAATTGTTTCGAGGGTGCTGGAAAAGTTGAGTCCAGTATTAGAGGAGGAGGTGAGCCGTATTGCTAATGTTCATGGTGAAGTTGAAAAGCTCGCCAGTAGTTTTCGAGCTGTCAAAGCTGTTCTTGAGGATGCGGAGCGACAGCAAATGGGGAAGGGAAAGGCCAGTGTTCGAGATTGGTTGTACAAGCTCAGGGAAGTCTCATATGACATTGAAAATGTGCTGGATGAGTGGAGCACAACAATTTTCACGTCAAATCTAGAGAAGAAGAAAGTATTTTCCTTCATCCCCTCTCCTTCCTTCTGTTTCAACAGAGGGATATTGCTTTACAAAACTGCACAGAAGATATTGGAGTTGAAAGGGAGGTTAGATGTTATTGCAAATGAGAGAGAAAAGTATGGTCTTAAGGAATTAAGTGTTGAAAACCCAATTAGACGAGAGCAAACTACTTCTCTCGTAAATTTAGCAGAAGTGTGTGGTAGAGTTATGGATAAGGAGAGGATTGTAGATATTTTGTTGAATGAGGGTAGAATTGAGGTGATCTCTATGGTAGGTGTTGGGGGGATTGGTAAAACTACTCTTGCCAAAGTAGCCTTCAATAATGAGAAAGTAGAATCTCATTTTGAGAAGAGGATATGGGTGTGTGTCTCTGATCCTTTTGATGTGATGAGGATTGCCAAAGCAATTCTTACATCTCTTGGTGAGAATGCTTGGCAAAATTTGGTTGAATTGGAGGATGTATTAAAACTCCTTAGAGACTCAGTCAAGGATAAGAAATTCCTACTTGTCCTAGATGATGTGTGGACTGAACACTATGAAAGGTGGGGTCTATTGAGAGACTCGTTGAGTTCTGGCTCACTGGGAAGCAAAATCTTAGTGACCACACGTAAGGAGACTGTAGCAAGAACAATGGGTTGCACTACCTTGTTCCCAGTGGAGCAGTTGTCTGAAGAAGAAAGTTGGTTATTGTTTTGTCAAATAGCATTTTTGGGGAGATCCAATGAAGATCATGAAAATTTGAGAGAAATTGGTAGGAAAATAGCAGGAAAGTGCAAGGGCTTACCACTTGCTCTAAAGACAATGGGTGGTCT